TTACAATTAATTAAGGTTTTTAGTTGAGATGAAAAAAAGTTAATGGCACGAGCGGGATTCGAACCCACGATCTTCGGCTAGATACGCCGCTGCTCTACCACTTGAGCTATCGTGACCTCGATCCACTCGGACATCAACTTCCTATCTCAACCCCACCTTATGAGTTTTCCCTCCTTCCCTCCCTGCTGAGCAAATTCCTTCAGGAAATGCCTGAGCACATAGTGCTTCCTAATGAATAATTCAATGGTAAGTAAGAGCCGCAGCCAAGAGGTCAAAGAGCCGTGGTTTGCCGACCACTGCTTTAAGGTTAAGGTTCAAATCCAGTGACCCTGCATTTGAACCCAATATACTAACAAATGGGCTTTTTTTCAAAAACACCGGCACCCCAAGGGTAACATATAACCTCACAGTTGAAATACCCTTATTTAAAATAAATAAATAAAAATTGGTAGGTAAATTAAAGGTTAAATGATGGTTAATTAAAAAGAAATTAGTTTTTTTTAATAAGAAGCAATTCAACGTTATTCACTTATTCATTATACACAGATTGGAGATACCGTACCTAATTAGAGGTAGGTAGAGATAGGTTCATAAAATCAGGTCTAATGGCACCTTTCGTGTAATATGAACCGAACTGTGAATTTGTGCCAAAATAAACAAAAAAAGAAGAGGGGGGGGGAAGAAAAATCCAGCTCACTCCTGATAATTGGATTCCAGGATAATGGACCTTTAATATATTATTACATACTTTTATGTAAAAATCAATATAGGGGTTTTTGGTTAAACCCGTTTCATGATGTTTCAATTTGTCATATTACAATTTATATATTGTGTGTTGATTGTTGTGATTTGCGAGGTGATGAACCTGTAGTTTAGTTGGTTCTGATCATAAGAATATGATTTGTCTGCCAGTTGCATTTCAGCATTTTCCCATCTTAGCGGGTTTTAAAAGAGGTTCAAATTATAGAAAAGGCTGATCAGGTATGATCACACTAGAATTTATGTAGATTAATTGTTCAGAGAGAATAGTAGACTGTTTACAGTGATAATAAAAATTCCAAAAAGGTTATCGTTCATTTTTTAAATATAATTTATGTCATGATGTTTTCTCTTTTTATATTAATCTCGACTGATCATTGTTCTTAGGTATTGCGGAAAGAGTAGACTATGTCCCAGGGACAGGAAGGGAAGACCTTTTCCCTGCTGCACAGCTTAAACTTTGTGACATGCCTTGTAACGTTCACGGAGTTCAAGCAAAACTCTCGCTTGCCACAAAACATATTGACAAGGGTTGTGACCGCGACACATACTCCGTCGCCAGTCAAAGAAAAATTTGTGGTGAATATCAATCCTAGTAGTACGCTTTGTGTAAATAAATTATTGTACATAATTTGTATTTTCAGGAGCAAGCGCTGATAGTGTTGAACTGTTGAGTCCGGCCGTACAAGGCCAGTGGAACAAAGGGGTTTCAACCGATGACGGCCACGAGTCAGACCAAATTTTTGAGTTTGATGGAGTGAATTCCGCTGTCACTGTGCCTAACCATGTTCTAGACCATGGCCTATCGTCAGTTTTCACAATGTCAACTTGGCTTAAACATAAGCATAGGCAAGACCAAGACAAGCATGCCAAAGAACATATCATTTGTTCTGCTGATGATCACAGTCAGTAATTTTTTTAAATTAAATTTTTACTTTTAGATTTATTGTACAAATAATTTTTTTTTTTAATTTACTGTAGAAATGAATCGCCATCATTATGCGTGGTTTGTAAGAAATTGTAGACTTATTTTATTATTGAGAAGAGACTTTTCTGAAGGCGATTTGAACATCTTCAGACCTGCTGAATGGAGGTGGAAACTTCCCCAGGTATTATTTAATCCTTCTTAACAAGTTTATTCAAATTATCAACGATCAAGCAAGTTTACTTTGTTAATATTAATTTTATATTTAGAAAATGAGAGATTATGCAAGAAACTTGTTTATTTATTTGATAAGTAGATTAAGTAGCATTAAACATGTAGTAACTACTTTTTTCTCATTTATTTTATCCAATAAGTTTAGCATTTCCATTGAAAATAATTTACACGCCTATTGTAGGTTTGTGATGATGAATGGCATCATTATGCCGTTTCTGTCAAATTCCCAGAAGTCGATCTTTATGTAGATGGTACACTTTTCAAAGCAGAAAAGAAAAACCCTGAAGTGATCGATGACTGGCCGTTACACCCAACAAAGGGTATCAACACGACTCTGACAGTTGGAGCTTGCTGGCAAGGTGGTTAAATCATTTCTAAAACAACCACTTTTTCTGTATCTTCTGTTTCAACAAAGAAGATGATTTTTCCAGGTTCTGAAAACAAAATGAAGCATCACCTCCATGGTTATTTGGCTGGGCTTTCCGTTCTTCTTAACACAGTTGAAAAGCCAAGTGTTCTCAGCTGCCTACACAAGTGCAAAGAAAGCTTGGACGTACCCCCAATGGAGCTTCTTGAACCAGGAATGGAACTTTTGACGAATAGCGGTATGTGTTGTTATTGTTACTTCGTCTACCAAATCTTAAAATATTTTAACATTTTATTACGTTTTTCTCAGATCTAACTGAACTGTCCATTGAGGGCGACAACAAGACAAATCTTGAAGTGCTTATAAAGAAAATAGGGTATACGAACTCAAGAGAATTCCCCACTCCTGGAAGGAGGAATTTACACTTAACCACAACAATTGTGTAAGTGTTTTTATTTTATAAAAAAGTGAAGTTTGTGTTTTAAGTTGATTGTGTTTTAACAAGAAAGCGACATTTGAGTTTGAAACGTTGAAGAGTCATGGCTTAGATTATTGTATTTTATTAACCAATTCACACTCAATTTATATTAAAGTGTTTTAGACACGATTAAGTTAAACAAAATTGACAAGGGTTGTGTTAAACAAAGTCAGCTGCAACGGTTGAAATATATATCAACCCTTCCACCACTCACTGGCACTGGCAACCAGTCAGAAAATTTTAATTTAGAGTAATCCTCACGTTCCTCTGAACAGGAGGTGTTACTGGCAATGAAAAATGGGTTTTGTATTCTAATGTACAATTTAGCCATTAGCGGGGATGCAGGTCAAGTGTTGATCCTTCAGGTTAATGAGGACTCCATCGTGAAAAGTTTATTATGCCCAATTATGCGAGCACGATCCATTAATAATTCTTGAAAAAGCAATTATGTCAGTTTTGTCAACAGTTTGAGCTTAAGTGGATGTTAGCAAGCAATTTATATTACTCATCTCTGATTATGTTTCTGAAGTTGATCATTAATTCCAATCAAAATCCAGTTGTTCATCGACATTTTTAAAAAAGTTATACTTTTTAACATGGAATATACAACTAAAATAATATTTTCTCTAATACGTTTTACAATTTATCTTTGCACCTTATAAGGAAAAGGTTTAAACTTTATTTATCTTGATGATAGATATCAACATAAGCAATCATTAACAATCAAATGTAGGAAGAATAAATTGTTATTTCTTGTTATATCACACTGAGAATTCATGGTGTACCAGCTCAGGGTCACTTACTGGGTCTGTCTTTATTTGCTTCTTTTTTTTTTAACTTGTATTATTTTTATGTTTAGTTTGTTTGCCGTTTTATTTAACCAATAAGCAATCATTAACAATCAAATGTAGGAAGAATAAATTGTTATTTCTTGTTATATCACACTAAGAATTCATGGTATACCGGCTCATGGTCACTTTCTGGGTCTGTCTTTATTTTATTTTATTTTATTTTTTTATTATTATTATTATTATTTTTTTTTTTTGTTTGTTAGTTATGTAAATGTGTTTCGGGTTTTGGTATTGTGCCATCTTCAGTAAGGAACTCGTTCTCAGTTCTAGAATCCTACAATTCTTCCTATTGTTATTTCTTGTTATGTTTAATAACAAGTTGAGGGATGCTGAATTGTTATTTATAAAATAATATGTCATTAGGAATCACAAAGAAAAAATTATATAACTTTTGGTAGTAAAATGGTAAAATTGGTTTTTAATATTATTTGTATTTCTAACTTGTATTATTTTTATGTTCAGTTTGTTTGCTGTTTTATTTAACCAATTGTTCAAAAAGAAAACTTAGGGAGGTATGGACTTATTTAGTAGAATTAATTTCAGATTATTTTCCCTCCAGGTGTGATCATAGCCGAATAGTGAAGATTCCACATGTTGAGAGCTACGTGATGGTCCTTCCTCCCCAACAGCCAACGCTGGTTATTAACGGTTCTGCCAATCTCGCCAGTGATTATCACGACTTTAGGCAAGGAGTGAGGGTTTTCACCGATTTGCATATCACTGTTTCTCCTCCCGGTAGGCCATGGAAACACGGTAGAAATTAATTTCCTAATAAATCATTCAAATTTTCTAATTTATCTTTGTAATTAATAAACCTATTCAGGCGAATCTACTGGAGCTGTCGAGAAGAAGCTGGATTCGTGCGTTGTCACGGTGTATCCGGCATTGAATCCAGATCATGAAACACTCACCGTACCGCACAACATGATCACACAATTTGGAATCACAGCTAAACTTAGCAAAGATGGTGCCACTCTCAGTGGTTCAAATGTTATTTATAATTATGAACAGGTAATTCATCTGAACTCATAATACCTAACAAGATTTTCTACAAAACAAACCTAATTATAATTTTCATGTGTTTAGGTTTTAAGACAAATAGAGTACACAAATAGAAAACCAGCTTACTATTTAAATAGAGTATTTAAATTAATTTGTTCAGAAATGAATGGCAGGTTTTTAAGCAATGAATATGTCCAGACTGTAAGTTTAAAGTTTTTTTTTTCTTAAGTGTATATATAAATATTTACACTTGATGATATATCCATTTTAAAATTTGCAGTTAACTGTAATTCACCCAAGGGCTAGTACTGCAGCTGCAGTAACACAACCCTCCCCAGTGTTAGTTGAACATGCAACAGCTGTACCAGTAGCTCATCAAATGATCAACCAACATCATGTTGATATTGGAGGGCCACATTATGTTTCCCAGCCGGTGAATTCTGCCACAAGTAATGCATTTTTTAAATTATTTATTTAGGGTTGAGATGGGAAGTTAGTGTCCGAATGGATCGAGGTCACGATAGCTCAAGTGGTAGAGCAGCGGCGTATATAGCTGAAGATCATGGGTTCGAATCCCGCTCATGACGCTGACTTTTTTATCTCAACTAAAAACCTTAATTAATTGAAAGATATTAATTGGTCAAGAGGACTAATTGGTTTTCCATTTTCTACAATCAACTATTGTTTTGTTTTTTTGCCGTTTTTTTCTAGGCCATGCAGTAACCATCATAATGGTAGTTTGTGTCGGGTTCCTCGTGGTAATGATTATACTCGGTGTTGTGAGGATACGAGCCGCTCATCAACGACAAACCCAGGAGGAATTGAATGATGCAGAAATGGCCTGGGATGATTCGGCGCTAAACATAACAGTCAATCCTATGGAAGAGGTAATTTTCGGTTGTCTCTATACTTGCAAATGTTATTGTTAAAAATCAAGTAAAATTTCATTGTGGAGATAATTATTTGAAACAAACAACATTAAAAATGCACTTGATGACAAATGATTACTGAATTAAGATGAAGTGGAACAGATATATTTTCCTACTCAATCAAGTTTAAGTCTGAGATTTTAAGTATAGTACATTTTTGTTGTTCAAATGATATTATTGTTGTGATTATTTTAATGGAATTTCAGGCTGAAGAGCGAGGGGGTAAGGGCGAATTGAGGGAAGATGATTCATCTGATGACAACTCGAGCTACAGAGATGATGAAGATGTTGATTCATCTGATGAAGAGGAAGGTGCCATTACTGTTGGGAAGCTTAAAGACCTGGAATGGGACAATTCGACTCTAGCCTAATTCCAGCTTTAAATCTTCCCAAACTCACCCAGGACACTTATGCAGGGAATTCACACTCCCCTACTCTCCCTTTCACTCTTTCAGTATGTCTGTCATGTATCCTACGTTAAGTTTTTTTGTTTTTTAATAACCAATATAAATTCGGCAATTTTATGTTAGTATGGTTTGTTTGTCATTTCATTATTAAATGTTTCCGAGCACACAAGTAGTGGGGTGAGCGAAGGGAGAGTGGGCCTACAATATAAAAAAAAAACCAACCTGTGTTTTCTTATAACTACACAGAAAAGAGAGGAAAATGTCTCTGTCCTAGAGAAATACAACCAGAATATTCCCTCATGCACCTTTTGTAAAGTAAGGAGTGAAATTTAGCGACCAAATTACCCTGTAAGCTTTATTGAAGTTTTGCCAGCTTTTATGCATTACTTAATTTTATTGCAGCAACATTATAATTGTTTAAGGAAGTAATTACCTTTGTTTGTGTTCAGTATTACCACATCAGTGTGTGTCTTGTGGGTTAAGTCTACTTTTTATCCTTCTGTGGTCCCCACTTTGCCTCGAAATTTCAAAAAGGAAACATAAATTGAATGTTTGTTCATTTTAAACTCACTCTCACTCTGTTGATCGCAGGGAGTCGCTGTGCCCAAGCAGGGTCCTTGTACTTAATTTTCATCCATCCAGCTGTCCTTTGCGGACATTAGTCTAATGTATCCACTATGTATTTAAAATATTAACATATAAAAACAATTATATGTATAGTTAAGATTTTTTTATTTTATATATTGAGCCTTGTTCAATGCTGATAATGTGCAATTTGTTTTTAAGAAATAATTGTCTTGTTTCCACCAACAAAATGCTGATTTAGATTTTAGGACAATATAATTATAGTATTATTATAATTAGAAGTGCCATTTTTATTTTACTGTTAAGCGCTTTTTTTTTCTTTTTTTTGGAGGGGGGTTATACATTTATTAAAGTTCTCATTCTTCAGTTACATTATTGATAATTAACATCATTTCTGTTAGAGTTTAAATTAGAATAACAAAAACATTCAACTAGTTTCAATTAGAAGTAGAAACTAACACCTCGGCGGTGAACTGCACATATTAAAAAAAAATATGTGTCATTATTTTGGAATATTTTTAATTTCAATGTAGATATTTTGATAAGTCGACGTACAGATGGAACACGTGTAAATTTAAATAACTAAGAAAAAAAGGGTGGGGAAAGTGAAAGATATCGAGACCTCACAGTTAACATCGCCATCGAGCCCTTTGTTTGTACTCTCACAGAAGATTAAAAATATATGGGGATATTTTTAAAAAGGACAATAATAGCTGTTATAATATATTTATGTAATTTGCAGCACATTATTCATTCTCATGCACGATGGCTAATAAGTAAGTAGTGAGGTTAGTTGCCGATGATGGAAAATCGCTATATTTCTCCTGAATTCCCCGACCTTTTTTTACATTTTCAATACCTCTTTTGAAACGATTCATTTGATCATTATACAAAAAGAAAGTAAAAACTTTATACAATATATTTAAAAAGTGTTGTAAATTTCTGTTTTCGTCCAAAAATCTTGTTGCAGCTTTTTATTTTTATATATAATATCACAACTTCTAGTGTGAAGACATATATTTTTATGCATATCATGATGATGTAGCTTAAAATCTCTTAGTAGTTGTTTGTGGATGTCGGTTCTTTAACTTCCTATACGTTTGTTTGGTTTTTAATTTGGAATTTTTTAAATGGAAAAAAATACATTCCAACGTTTTCTTTTAATTTTGTAAAAAGTTTTATCCTTTACTTTTTCACTTCTAATATTAATTTTTAAGTAAAATTGAGAAAGTACACATTAAAAGTGTCTCGACTCAATTATATATATCATATAAATATATTTGCATATTTTTATTTGTTTATTGAGTTTTTTAACGAAAAAAAAATTCAAATACGTTTTAACAAATTTAAAATGAATGTGGTATGTAGGAAACTAGTATACTTTAAGCATTGAATCATAGTGATCCATTTCATATAGTGACTTATGTAAAAAGAAAAAAAAATAAGTATCAAGATCCCAGCATTTTGTTTCAGTACAGACACACACAAATTCATACACGTATTATTTCTTATTTTATTTTTTTACACATCAAATAATCGACGCCTGCAAAAAATTAATTACCCGCAATTATAAAAATTTACAAAAAAAATGTGTAAAATTAATTAAAAAGACAAAAAAAATTTTTTTTTGGAAACAAAAATGCTTTTTATCTAAACAATTACAACAGGATAACTAAAATCCCGGTGTAGGTACATTTAACTGATAAGAAAGAGTAAGTTTCTGTTTTATGTATATAAATATATTTATATAATGTAAACGTTATACCAGAAATGGTATACCTGTCCATCGCACAGAACACGTTGTACTTGCAGTAATTAATATATGTAATAGTTATTTGATGTATTCACATTATTGTTGTTCAATAAAATAAAACCTACACCTTTTAAACTGCCTTGTCTTACAGTTTTAAAACTTATTTCCTACTATATTACTCCAAACTTCTATTACAGTTGTTCCATTTTTCTCTGATATAAGTGTATAAGAGATTAAAATTTATTTATGCAACAAATATATCGAGAAATCTATGACAAGGATGCTTTTTGATATATTTATTGTCAAATTTTTCACCTTAGTGGCTGAGAAGATGAAATGAAAGGCAAAAGAGTCACAAGACGTTTTGAATTTGTTTAAATTTTTTAGTTCGTACTACCATGAGGATTAAATCTAGCTTCTTTTTGACTGTTTTATTTTGCCATGGTTGTAAAATACACTGATGTACAAAATAACCGCACCACTCCTTAAATGTATGCAGGTTTATTCATATTTTGCTTACCAAAAATAGGTTTGGTTGTCAAATTAGGTCATTTAAAAAGAAACTTTTTTACACTTGATTACACACCTAGAGCTGGCCACACCGAGTACTCAATTGCAATCTCATTCAGGTAATCATTCACAAGAAGTGCTGTGCGGCCTGTCATTATCCTGCATTGGCAGGAATCTCTCACTGAAGTGAGGGCAAATGGTATTTCTTCAATTAGGTCTTGTAAGTAAGTGAAGTTGGAGATTCTTCCTCGCACAACGCTTGTTTTTAATGCTGTCCAGTTTTGAAAGTAAGAAAAATGCAAATTACAACTCGACTAAATATTATTCTAATAAATACTGTAAGAAAATAATTTTGTTGCCGTTTTTCAAATGTTGTGTAATCTATTTGATTCTCAGCGACAAATGATATGGCCACGTTGAGCTTTAGTGAAGATACACATTTTAACTTATTAAATTCACTAGTTTTCGTGGTCCGCTTGATCACCGTGGTCACCATTAATTTTATACGAATGAGGACCTGCGAAATTAAATATGCCCAACCTAGATTTTTTTCAAATTTATTTGTACGATTCACTAGTTTTCATGGTCTGCTTGATCAATTAATATCTTTCAATTAAGTAAGGTTTTTAGTTGAGATAAAAAAGTCAGTGTCATGAGTGTGAAAAATGGCAAAAAGAAGGGAAAATTCTAAAGGTGGTGTTGAGATGAGAAGTTAGTGTCCGAGTGGATCGAAGTCACGATAGAACAAGTGGTAGAGCAGCAGCGTATCTAGCCGAAGGTCGGGGGTTCGAATCCCGCTCGTGACGCTGATTTTTTTATCTCAACTAAAAACCTTAATTAATTGTAAAAGATCGAAACGTTGGCACGATAAAGAAAATGTTTTTCTGAAACCTACATCACACCAGACCGCATCTCACGATTTCTGAATAATGATCGTAATTATTTTGTAATCTTCACTCACAATGACTTATTCGAAGATTGTGATGTTGATGGAGAGTAATTGAGGTAATTGATCAAGCAGACCATGAAAACTAGTGAATCGTACAAATAAATTTGACGAAAATCTAGGTTGGGCATATTTAATTTCACAGGTCCTCACTCGTATAAAATTCAATATAAACTAAAATATTTTGTATAAAAGATAACAGCTCACAGTATTTATTATAAACCATAAATTAGATTTGAGAATTTAGCTTTGTTTACAAGACAAGCACTTGCAAAAATAAAACAAATTTTCAAAAACCGACATTAATTTTGCATCAACTCAATAAAAAATATATAAATAAGAATTGTAATTGTCCAATAGGCCAAATTGACATGATCTCAAAAATGCTGAAAGTGTTTTTCTAAACTACCTCATTCTTGACCGCTCCTTACAACTTCAACAAATTATGAAACAACCGGTCACTAAGAAACGCACACCCTAAACTAACTTTAAAAAGCAAGGGTTTTCTAGAAGAGGTGCATGGTTCTACAGTGACATCATTAACTTAAAGCTAAGTTTTTATTGTTTTATATGTTTACTTTTACTGTTACTGTTATGTGTTTATTGTTACTTTTTACTGTTTTTATTTTTACTGTTTATGGTGTACTAAAATTTGCACATCTATTTGAATTTAATTCCTAGGGGAATGGAATATTGAAAAAAAGAAAACAAATTAAGACTATTAGTATAATTATTAATAAAGTTTTATATATTTTCTCCAAGGAAAATATTAAATTACAAAAATTCGCTTGCTCAAATTAAATGTGAAATGTTACAAAAAGAGAAAAAAAAAATTAAGGTGTGGTGCTTGATTTAAGCAGTTACATATCGCCATGCCCTCCATGATCCTTCTTTTCTTCGTCCAGTTTAATCATATCGTCGATCCTGAGAATAGTTATTGCTGCTTCTGTGGCAAATTTAAGAGCTTTGATTTTTGAAATAGTAGGCTCAAGAACACCTGCTTTCTTGTTGTCTCTAACAGTGCCCTCATCAAGATCAAGTCCAACCCTAGGAGAGAAAACAAAAATTTAAATGTTGCATAAAAATACAACTTATAAATGTTATACCATTTGAGATGGGCGTGATCTTTCTTTGTTTGGCTTGTGTTGTGATAAGCTCTAAGTTTAGCGACAATATCAGTTGAATCAATTGCGGCATTCACTGCCAGAGTTTTGGGGATAACAAGTAGGGATTTAGCATATTCAGCAATTGCCAACTGCTCTCTGGAACTCTATAATCAAACATAGTGTAAAAAAAAGTTTTAAAAAAAATTATACAATTTACTTACAAGAGATGTGGCAAAGTTTTCGAGGTAGATTGAGAGGGCAGCTTCCACTGCTCCTCCACCAGTTACAACAGTTTTACTCTCTAAGACACGTTTAACAACACATATTGCATCATGGACGGACCTTTCAATCTCATCTAAATAAAAATCATTTGGACCTCTGAGAATAATAGAGCTTGCAGTATGAGCTTTGGGTCTGAAAAAAGATGAAATAAGATAAAGTTCTACTAAAGTAAGAATTTCCTTTATACAGCAAATTCCTCCTGAACTATTTTGCACAAGTTAGCTAAAGTTTTGATCAGCTACATACCCTTTTAGAAGAATGAGTTCGTCATCACATATTCTTTCTTGTTTAACTTCGGCTGCTTCTCCAAGCGAACTTGCTTCAAAACTTTCTTCGCCTAGGAAAAATTTTATAAGCTATTATTCTTATATAGATCAAAACTTGATTTTCTTACCTTCCATGTTTGTAAGTGATGTTAAGAAACTAGCACCGGTCGCTTTGGCAATTCGTTTCAAGTCTTGTTTCTTTACTCTTCTTACAGCCATAGCTCCTCTTTCAATAAAAAGCTTCAACAATAAAATAAAAATTTAATTTTTATTTTTTAAAATAATAATATCAAATTTACCTTTAGATAAGTATCATCAATTCCACCGGAAAGTAGAACGACATTTGCTCCTGCATCAAGGATTTTCAAAATTCTATCCCTGGTAATATCAGATTCTCTGTCTCTAATACCTTCCAACTGTTCAACATCTGTGACAAGAACCTAAAATACAGAAAGTTAAAATTGACTTTGGGTGCTACTAAACATTTATATCTCACCTCTACACCGAGTTTCATTTTTGTTTTTTGTAGAGAAAAATCTAAACAGGCAACCTTGGCATTTTCCACCCTATCGACCATACCCATGCTGGCAATTCTGCAGTTAAGAGCATAGCCTTTGACAAGTATACTTTCGCTCACTTGTCCACCATGAGCTTTCAGGATGTTTATGGCTTTGATCGGATATACTGCCTTTCCTTTGCTGTCGGTTACTTTGACAGCTTGAACAGCATCGACGACCATATTAGCAAAAAAATCATCGTCGCTGGTTTTATCATTAAGGAAAAAATCATTCACAAGAACAAACAAAACAAACATTTTGTACCTATTGTTTTTCAAATCTTTTGTAATAGATTATATGGGTGTATTTATAAGGATACATAGAAATAATTTTGCTTGCAAGGGAAGTTTTTGCTGTGTTTACAATACAATCCTTTCCAAGTTCTTCTACAGTGATGCAAAGGTGTTCTTGAATGTATTTTTGTGCTTCCCTGAAAAACACAAAATTTTATATAAGACAATGGTTCTAAATGTTGCATAATACAAAGACTTACTTGCATGCTAGCCTGTATCCACTAATAATGGAAGTTGGATGAATCTTTTGTTTAACAAGTTCATCAGCATTTTTAAGAAGTTCTGCAGCAATGATAACCTATATCACATCGTAATCATTATTTCATGTTTTGAAAAATAAACGAATGTTATGAAATGTTATTGGGCTGGTGCAAAATTAATGCAGGTTTTTAAAATTTATTAATTTTTGCAGGTGCTTGTCATGTAAAGAAAGCTAAATACTCAAATCTAATTTATGGTTTATAATAAATACTATAAACTCTTACATTTTATTCAAAACATTTTGGCTTATTCACTAATTTTCATGGTCCGCTTGACCAATTAATATCTTTCAATTAATGAAGGTTTTTAGTTGAGATAAAAAAGTCATTGTCACGAGCGGAATTCGAACCCATGATCTTCAGCTAGATACGCCGTTGCTCTACCACTTGAGCTATCGTGACTTCGATTCACTCAGACACTAACTTCCCATCTCAACCCCTACTTTTGCATTTTTCCTCAAGTGGTTAGAAACCTTAATTGACCACTTATCCGTTGTTTGCCATCTGGAGCAAACTGGTAAAGTAAAGAAGCTCGACAAGCCTAAAAAAATCGACACTTTGAAATTGTTACTTCTCTTCTGTTGCGCCACCAAAATGATCCATTTCTCAATCGAATCATCAAGTGCGATGAGAATTGGGTTCTGTACAATATCTGGAAGAGTCAGACAAGCATTAAGTGTCAAAACACTTCCCAAAACCGAATCTGCACCCAAAAAAGGTTAGGTGACTGCTTCCTGAATTATGGAAACAACAGAATAAAAGCGCTTATTACACGTTAACAAAGATATATATAGATTGTGATAGAAAATATTTAGAATAAATTTTCTTCCTTTTATAAAAATTACTAGTTTTGACTGCTTTTCATACCTAAAATATTTTTGCACAAGCCCAATGAATTTACAAAGAAATTTAATGGTGTCCTTTCATTTTATTGTTACCGTTTTAGTGAATTCTGCCTCTAGGACACAATTTTATGGTAATAAAGTACCATCCTCATTGTTACTGATATGTCAATGAATTTTACCAATTCACATCCAGAAATATATCCATGATTCAATATACGAGTGTAAAATATGAGTTTGATTTGGCTCTCCTTTATTTTTATTACCTAAGACTCAATGGGTAACCCAATTTCCAAGAAAGACTTACCATTTCATGCAGAATTGTATGTAGGAACATAATTGTCATTTACAATTTTTTGGAATTCAGAAAAGGCATCCTCTTTTTCCCACACATTTTCTTCACTATCACCTGCATTATGGACAAATCTACCTACGTTAGAAGATAGTATTTTGAATACTTTTCATAGAAGGAACTTTTAATGTTTTATCTACATCCAAACTATGAAAATAAAAGCAGATTTAATTCTTCTACCATATCTAACATTAAAGATATGACAATGTCTGTAATCAATATCATCTATGTAACTTTAATTCAGACCCATTTTTATTTATAAATAGCAGATTTCTTTTAATAATATTTTTTATGTAATTTTTTTTCATTCTGTTGGTATTATTACATTTTGATGATGTTAAATTTATGCTGACAGTCAACAAATAAATCTACTATTGTTTCCCTATTATAATGGTTATATACAAATTGAACTAAAGAAAGTATAGCTGCTAAATAAAATACTTACAACTGAGGTTGTTCCATCACCAATTTCCTCATCCTGGAGTTGAGCAAGGTCGACCAAGATTTTTGCTGCCGGATGATCAACTTCAAGAAGCTTGAGAATTGTTGCTCCATCATTTGTAACAGTCACATCCTAATGGTAATGATTTGATTAAAGTAATGACTGTATATAAAACCAAGTGTAAACAGAAAAAAAAAATACTTACACCAACGTCATCAACTAGCATTTTATCAAGACCAACTGGTCCAAGTGAACTCTTTACAATGTTAGCAATCGTTGAAACGGCCATTACTAAAAAGCAGATTTTAATTATAGAAATAATGGATACAATAGTAATACTTTTTTTTTAAAATGTGTGTTTGCAATAACAGAGATCTTATAAACCCCTAGAGTTCCAATGCTTTATAACTGAAGAGCCCATGACCTATCAGTCTTGACACGATTTTGAAACAGACTGGCGGTATGCATTGCTTTGGGTGTCAGCTCAAGGCTACAACTATGGACAGCTCATTGATTCGGTTTTTCTCTCAATAAATGCTTTGGTCAAATCCCATGCGTGTGTCATTACCCTAAGACTTCCTTACCACTCAGCCAATGCAGTCTTTTAAATGCATAGTATCTTAAGTGCACAATGCTGTTTCTCAAGTGGGCCAATGATTATACAAGGCAGCTGTTTAAAAAGCACAAGCGACTTTATGTGGTGAAAAGGATGGCCCTTCATTTTCTATTAATTTGTAGGATTGGATTTTGGTGTTTTAGTCATAGATGTGTTGATTTTTCCATTTTCTAGATACTGCATGTAATTCCAATGTTGCTGGACAGTTCATACAATTAATATTATACATTACCCCGGATTGGTAGGATGTTGGTGTTGGGTCTTTAACTTTGGAAAAAAGTATAAGTACTGTTTTATGGTTTTTAACAGTTATTTTAATGCATTCTGAGAAGAGAAAATTTACTTAATTTGTGTTATTGGTATGCTGCGAATTTTTGCAATAATGTCACAACATTACAAAAATTTCATTTCTTTTAATTTTCATTTTCCTCATCATACCCTTCCTTAACATCTTCATTTTCATTAAAATTATGTCAAATATTGAGCGTAACATGGAGTTGTATGTATATAACTGGATGACAATGAGAAATTCAATAAATATTTATACAAATTAAAAACGGACATAGTTTTATTTACTGTTAGTATTCTTTCTCTACTTAGTACTCTTTCTAATAGTAGAAAAATAATTTAGCCCTGAAACAGAGAGAGAAATTCGAATTTTTGTGAACATATGTCAAAATTATGCTGCCGGTTTTTTGGTAATTTAACAGAGACTGATCTGTATCTCCTCGTACTGCGAGCAACGGTTTTTTGTGGTTTACTCTGGGGCCATACAACCACTATCAGTAAAGCAATTGTATACATCAACACGGTGTTGATCACAAAATTGTAATTATAAATTAAATCGGATTTGTAGGATGTTGGTGTTGGGTTTTGTGACTGGAAAAAAGTGTATGTACTGTTTTATGGTTTTCAAAAGGTATTTTAATGTGTTCTGAGGAGCGAAATGTACTTAATTTGTGTTATTGGTGTGCTGCGAATTTTTGCAATAATTTCACAACATATTTTATAATGTGTGGTGATTAGTGACTGTTAATCGATTTTCCACATCCTAAATGTATTTGTTAAATGGAAACAATGTTTGTAAATCCCAGGCCCTGAAGATGATCTCAATAAAGATCGAAATGTTGGCACGATAAAGAAAATGTTTTTCTGAAACCTACATCACACCAGACTGCATCCCACGATTTCTGAATAATTAGTAATGTCACAACATTACAAAAATTTCATTTTTCTTCATTTTCATTATCATACCCTTCCTAAACATCCTAACAAACATAACTGGATGACAATGAGAAATACAATAAATATTTGTACAAGTTAAAAATGGACATAGTTTTATTATTCTTTCTAATAGTAGAAAAATAATTTAGTCCTGAAACCGAACTACAACTTTGAAAAACCTAAACCCTTCCAACACTTCGGAGAGAGAAATTTGGATTTATGTGACCATACGTCGAAATTACGCTGCCAGTTTGTTGGTTATGCAACAGAAACTGATCTGTATTGCTCATCTTGCGAGCAACATGAATGTTTTGTTGTTTATTCAGGGGCCATACAACCACTATCAGTGAAGCTGTCGTATACACAACACGCTGTTGATCGCAAAATTGTAATTATAAAGTAAATCGGATTTGTAGGATGTTGGTGTTGGGTTTTGTGACTTTGGAAAAAACTGTATGTACTGTTTTTTGGTTTTTAAAAGCTATTTTAATGAGATATGGGGAGAGAAATTTACTTAATTTGTTATTGGTGTGCTGCGAATTTTTGCAATGTCACAACATTACAAAAATTTCATTTCTCTTAATTTTCATTTTCCTCATCATTCCCTTCCTAACCATCTTCACTTTCATTAAAGTTATGTCAAATATTGAGCATAGCATGGAGGCGTATATAATTTTATAAAAGTTAAAAACTGAGTTTTATTTTTTTTTCTAATAGTAGAAAAATAATTTAGCCCCTGAAACTGAACTACAATAGATGTAGTTTGTACAGAAATTTGTGTGCTGTCAAAATTCGAAAATTATTTTTATACAATTAAATTTTAATATTTCCCTTTTCTTTTAATCGTTGTTAAACATAGATTCGAGCTTAACTTCAGCAGTTAATGAAGTTTAAAGAAGCACATGGCTCGACGTCTAACCTGGAATCGGCATACCGGTGATAGTGTAGTCATATTACCGTTTTGTGTCCTGACAGGTGCTCCGGACGTCCTCTGCCCAGGAAGGGAAAGCGCCACTCCCAAAGTCGACATTTTCAATTAGTAATGAATTTGCAGTCAAACAAATCACATAAAAACAATCTGAATGCAACGTTCAATACTCGGTCCCAATGGGTGTGAATGTGAATGAGATCTCTTTCTAGTTCTTTTTGTTTCAATAGAAGCGCTAGTTATGGTAGCCGTTTTCAGATGGTGCTGAGAGCTGGCACATTCTCACGAATCAACGTCATTTTATGAGAGATGTAAAAACGCCTCTGCCATCAAAACAAAAAAATGATTAAAAATAAAATTGGTTAAAAATAATAAATTGTAATAGTATTATTGAATTCAAACTCAAAGAACTAAGGAAGAACAAAAACACCGGGACCCCAGAAAAAATCTATTCCATTCTTGTAGAATTGTTTGAGTTTTATTACATTAAATCAATGTTTCTTCTTGCATATATATAAGCAGATCAAAGGTCCCTTTTACAAAGAAAATAAATAACGAGGTTATAAACAATTTAATAGTAAATAAGAACAAGTAAATAACAAAGTAGTAAATAAACAACATTGATAAAATAACAAAAACACAACAACAATTAATGATTATTGGAAGATCAGTACAAATATTTTGAAGAAACCTAAAATTTCTATATTGCGTATATCATTGTTTAAATTCATTTTCACATCGTACATGTATAATCCAATGTTTGTAAATCCCAGGTCCTGAAGATGATCTAAATAAAGATCGAAACATTGGGACAATAAAGAAAATGTTTTTCTAAACTTACCGCATCTCACAATCTCATCAAATAAATAATGATTAATAATAATAATAATCCCAAGATATGAGTAATCATAATTAAGGAAGTACACTTTGGTCTTTCAAGGGGAAATACATTCTATCCACACTTATGACCTAGAAAATTTTCAAAGAGATTACACTGGCAAAAATATCCTCATAAGATCTGATAGCCAAGTTGCTATTAAAGCATTATCATGTAAAAAAATCACATCAACATTAGTCAATGAATGCATAGAAAATCTCCAAAACCTGGAGAAACACAACAACCTAATAACTCGGTTGGCAGCGCACAAAGGAATTTTAGGCAATAACTAAGTAGGCACACCGGCCAGAGGAGGATCTGCAAGAACATCCATAGGCCCCGAACCTATACTTGGAATAACAAAAACAAATACAGAATCCTCCTTTGCAGAATAGATCTGAATAAAACAAAAGAAGTGGATAAAATCTAGTGGCGCTAGACACAGTAAACGTATGATGAAAAAACCCTCACGAAGACTGCCAAACTCACTGCGTTGGAGTGAGGTAGACTCAGAGGAGTGATAGGACTATTAATCAGTAACTGGCTCTGAGAAAACATCTTCACAACGGGGGGTATATAACGATGATCCCATATGCAAATTATGGAATGAGGAGTAGGAAACAACTACCCATATCATCTTTGAATGCGAAGTGACAGCTTAATGGAAATTTAACCTATCATACAGAAAAAACATAGGGAATGAAATTGTAGCAACAACAGTCAATTACCTAATACTTCTGAGAAGAAGAATTGAGTTGATTACACTGAACTAGGGAACTAGGAATGTAGAATAAGCCAGAAGGCTGCAATGCCTGGGGAGCACAACCCCTGCTTCCTATTATCCTCATCACCATCACCATCAATAATAATAATAATAAACAATAAACTATATTTATATATTTTATCTAATAGAAGTATTACATTTTATATAATACAACTATATTTAATTCAAAACAATCTACAAAATTATTGTCTTTAATTTATGTTTAAATGTATTCAAATTTCTATGAAAAAATCAATATTTGGACATATCTTATTTCCTTCTCTTATTATTCTATTTATTATTACATATTATAAAATATGTAATTTGTTTTACAAAAAGATACATTAAACATAGATAAATGCCTCGTAGCATGTATTGGGGTAAAGTGATACATGAAATGAGGTTAGTACATTGGTCATGTTAGTCGCCCATTGATTATACTGTTAAGAAATAGAAGAAAAAAGCCTTCTGTCAGGTAGTGGTGGAGGATTATAAAGAGAAACAGACAGTTCTGAAGTCGAAACGAGAGGAAATCGAAAATGAATGATTCTAATAAATCTATTAGGTTTCATGGTCCGATTGATCAAATAAATTCTTTTCATTTAATTAATCTTGAATTTGAATCTTAATTTTGAACTTGGTCTGAATATTCAGAATGAGAAGAAAAATGCGGATTCCATACAAGAGTAGAAAATTCAAGGATAGGACAAATGAGTTTCCTACAATGTCAGTGATGAATTGGGATTATGAAAATTATGAGTGTTTCTTATAACAAAACCCAGAATTTTAAGAGCTTTTTTATTACCACTGATAATATTCTCCTTAAAATCCAACTTGCTATCAAACAAGATACCTAATTCTTTGAGACAGATTACTATGTTTAGCGTGGTATTGTTGAGAGAATAAATATATAGAATTGTGTTGGAAGAATGATTAAAAGAAATTACTGAGCATTTAGCTAAATTTAAATAATTAATTTGATACTATAAACTAAGTTTATCGATAGATTGCTGCAAGATAAGAGAGTCTTTTGTTGATTTTAGAGCGAGGAAAATTTGAAGATTATCAGCATATAATAGAAATGGTGTAGCTTATTGCTTAACTAGGCTATGGTGACTGAAAAAGGGGAAAAGGTAGCTTAAAAAGTAAACTAAAACAAAGATTTAATGTTTATTTAATTATTTCTATCTGTTATGACCCTACTTTTTGCAGATGATTTAAAAATATCCTTGAAAATTAATTCTTTTTTGTCTGCTTATGACTTCAACATGCCTTAGGGGATAGGGATAAAAGAGGTGGCCACCTTGACCTGAGATCTATTGTGCTCCCCTGTTTTTATAACTCATGGGCCAGCTCAGGTTGTTAACCAACCTCCAAAGCCTTGCAAATAGCTCCTTAGTGTACGATATTGCTTCTGCTTTTCCTCTCCTAGTTGAAAGAAAATGTGTCTACATAGAACTTTACAGAAATATAATATGTGTTCTGTAGTCTCCTCCTCTTCCTGGCAGTATCTGCACAGTGTTTTTTCTGTTTTGTCTGTACTCCTATCTGGAGCATGTCCTTTCTTAAGTAGCAATGTCCTGTCAGGAATCCAACCAGAATCCTGGTTCGGTTGTGGCTGCTTTCCAGTAATTCCTTTGAAGGTTTTGCAGATGGCCCTTCTATGAATCACTTCGCATGCCCCATGTCTGTGGTATTGTTCCACCAGGTTTTGGACTCATTAAGGATCCATTTTAAGTTGTACCCTCTTTTATGGTAGGATGCTGTCACAGTAGGTTCAGGACCTAGATAGAGTCCATGTTGGCTCCCTCTAGTTTTACTTTTAATCAAATTTTAACTGTAAAGGTTATGATAACTTTTGAAAAAAAAATTTCTTTCTTACTATAAAGTAAACAAACTAAAGGAATGATACTGCATAAATTTGTTTATTATCAAATATGGAGTTCATTAATCTGATGCCTTAAAAAAATGAATGATAACGTATAAAATGAGTTATTAATTAGATTAATTAGTATTGTACATGCAAAAGAAGGTTTTTCTTCTTGGGTAATAGCAGAATAAGATAAATTTAAGTAAAAGTTAGTAAATTGGACTTTAATCTGAGAGTAGAAAATATTTACAACGCTAACTTTAATGGCTTGTTATGGGATGATGGAATATTATTTTAAACACTGAAATCACTTTCTTCTTTTCTAAAAAAATAAACATAAATGTGAACATTATGCTATTAATTGTAACTTGTATGATATGTTTTACTTTGCAAGCTGTGCTATGAAAGTATTTTTCTCTTTAAGAATGGATTTAAGCCGTGAAATTTCAGTGCCAAACGATTCTTTGATTTTTCCAACTGTTTTGACCTGCATCTGAAGATCTGCATCGAGCAACTGGATTTCTTTCATTGTTCCCTCTTCTACAGTCTAAAAAATATTAATTTTTTGAGAAAATTTATGTAAATATTTATTGATACATTAATAATTGGGCATATTGGTATTTTATTATTTGAAATTCTATTGTTAATGGATAAGAACTCAGGATCAGTAAAAAATGAAGAAAAAATAAAATATACTTTATTGATACAATTACCTTCATGTTTCTTTTAAGGGATTCAACACGGCCTGCAAGTTTAGAACCAAATTGGCTTTCTTCAGTTCTTTGCCTCAATTCCTTTATAAGAGCTTCCTCGTGTAAGACCATGTCTTTGGAGAACTGAATTGCGTTATTTAATTGTTCTTTAAGTATTTCTCGATCTTTTACAGCTCGATCGAAGGCTTCTTTCATTGATCTTGTAAATTTAGTTTCACTTAGAAAAATGCTATATAATAAATTAGAATACTGGTACTTACTTGACTTGTGTACTGACGCTATCAAGACTTGTCCGAAGCATCATTCTTTCTTCATTTATTTTGGCCAATTTAGTTTCCAATTCTTCATTTACTGTTTCAACTTCCCCAACTTTTCGCACTAAACTGCTTTTTTCATCCTCGTAACGGACTTTCAACTCATCAAACAATCTAATTATTTCTGATATAATTATTATTGGTCTTCGACACTTAGCCAATTTGAAAGAAAACAGTCAGCTCCTTTGTCAAGCTTTCAAGGAATAGATCTCTTTTATTAGGACTTTAAAACTATTATTTATAATTGACTTAACGTTTATTCGCAATATTTAATCTCATGGTTACAAGTAAAATAAAAATTTGAATTTACAGTGTATGAGGTGAAATTCTATATCATAAATATAACCTCTACATTTTATCACAGGCTTTAGTGTTTGAACTTCGTTCACCTTTAATTCAATTCTTATAATTTCATTATTCTTGGAACCATATAGTTTCAATATTCATTTATTAATTTCAATATTTTATATTTGTAAAACATGTAAATTAAAGAAAGAAAAAAAAATCGTAGCGGAGTTCTAATGAAGGGGAATCTTATCTATCCTCAGTGAAGGCACAGAGTATTTTCTTTTAAATTGGCCTTATCCTTAATTTTTATTATAAAAATCTAATAATAATAAGTTAAAAGATTATTAAAAGTGTTAACGGCACAAGTGCAGGTAATGCATAATTGTTCACCTTTTACATTCTGTTATGTAAGCCGTGTGAACTGCTGTTGGTATTTTACGTTGGTCCTCTTCTTTGTGCTTTTCGAATTCTTCTAGTAGAACAGAAAATCTTCCTTTTAAGACTGACAACTCAGTTTTAGTTTGGTTGTATTTGTTAAAGAAATCATCTCTTTCCACAATTACTTCATTCACTACAAATAATTCAATTTTACAAACAAAACAAAAATCAAGTTAATTTCTCTAATTTTAAATGAAATGTTATTAATATTTACATTTAGTTTGAAAACTGTCTTTCAGTGTTTCAATTTTTGAGGAATTAAGTTTTAGCTGTCTCAGTAGCAATGTGTTCTGTTCTTTGAGCATTTTCCCTTCTTTTTGAACAGCTAACCAATCGCCATATGTCACATTGCCCTAAATGCAATGAGTACAAAATTTATTATGAATAATTATTATCAAATATTGCCTTAACATACTTTAGTCTCTGAGACTTTAACTGCTTCTCTAAGCTCATCGTTTGCTTTAACAAGCTCTTTGCAATTGTAACTAATTTTTGTCAGAGCGTCTTGCGATTCTTTCAGAAGTTCTACCTTTTCTTTTAGGCATTCTTCATATGCAACAAGCAGAGGTGCAAGGACTGTTAGCTCACCATCAATCCATGATGGATCGTTTTCTATAAAAAATTTACGTTGAAAGAAAGGAGATTAAAAAAAAATCTGATCAGTAATGTTATTCCTCCTAACTTGAAATTTCCAAAGTGTATTCTTCATCTCCATGATTTCTTACATATGATTGATATTTTTCCTGGTATCTTTGCAATTCTTTATTTAATCTAAAAAATAAATAAAATACTATATATACAAATGTTGGATATGTAGTCAATTAAAATGCATATTTTATCATTGTGATACATAAACTAAAATAAGTATACATACTTCATATACTATATCAATTAACAGCAATTAATTAAATTAATGAATCTGATTATATAATAAAAATTTCTTTAGTCAATAAAGAAATTAACATCCTACAAAGCGAGTGGTATAAAAAAGTGCAATTACATTTGAATAATGAAATTCCTTTACTTGACAACTAGGTTTTTCAGAAGGAAGACATCTTGTGATAGGATTCTCATTCTTTCTTTGTTTGTTGTTGAAGTGTCACTTCTGTACTCACTCAATTCTGATTCCAGTCTTGCTTTCGCCTCAATTAAATTCAGTTCATTTGCTAAAAAAAAGTTAAATATTGAAAACTAAGTTAGTCATAACATACGATAAGCCATAACTTCAGTAAAAAAAAAAATTTTACTTCAATAATTAAGATTTTAGTATTAAAGTTTGTTTTTCAACATTGTGTCATTTCATTTAAAGAAAGAGAATAGTACATATTAAGCCAATTTATAATATAGAGGTAAAAGTTCAAAAGTTAAGGTTGTAAAAGTTCAAGTTTAAATGTTCAATTATTTCATCTACATTTATGTAGCTTCACAGATCTGACACATTTCAGTATTTTACATCTTTCATGGTCAATGTATTGTGGACAGTATTGGAGACAAAGAAGCTACAAGTTCATCACCTTGCAGATCCCATCATATTTATTTATCAGATTTTTTTGTTTTGTTTTTTAACAGACGTCCTATTTCGAAATTCATGACATACTTTTAAGGGGTGTAGAGGAAACTTCTGTGCATTACATGGATGTTTGCTAGCATAGAAGGTTTACACTTTACCATACTTTTGTCCATCAACTGATTTTGTTTCAATCATTGATCTGTGGTTGATACTGTAGTCAACAGTTTATACCTTATGTCCACATTCAAAATTAATTGCTGTTACATAGTCTATTTTTTATTTAATTGCTAATTTGTAAGCTATAACTTTCATAGTGTGGGGAAACATCAACATTTGTTTCAACATCTTATCAAATTGATAAAATTAAATTATATTTTATGAATAAATTTTTTTAAGCCGTATCTGGTCAAATTTGGGCATTTTTGCTGTATAATATATTTTTTTTTATAGTCTGTAAAAATTATATATTCATACAATGAGATGAAATACAACATTTGACATAGTTCGTTGTGTGCAATGTATTCTGAGGGGAGCTTGCCCTCCCAGTTTTTTGAATAAGTACATATTCATAAGGAAGTCTGCCCTAGACTTCCCGGTCCCCCGCTCCACCTCAGACGCCTGACTGGGTTAAAGAGTTAAGTAATGTTGGATTTATATTGGGCTAATAGGTTCAGATGTTAGGAGTCTTTCATGGAACACTTAAAATTTTTTTGGGTATATGGTTTTTAATTTAAGGTATTTGGGGGTAATTTTGAAGGATACTGTTGGAAACGTAATAGAGAGCATTGAAAATGGTTCTGAGGACTGTGGATCAGAAGGATGTATTCTTTGGATGTTGGAAAGTTTACTGGGGTCCCATAGTTCTAATTGATATGTTCAAATCAGTTTCTGTAGTGTCTTGTAAAGTGTTAGTTTTTCTTTTTGATACTTGTGACGTTTTTGATAATAATTTGTATAGTAGTCAGAAGTGACTGTTTAATTCCTATGTTTTATATTTTAGGTTAGACGTTATTTGAGATAGAACCCAACATAACATACACGGCCAGTTTTAGGGATTGAGGAATATTGTACAATTGGTTTTGTTTTCATTTATCTTAATACACCAGAATTTGCTCCATTTGGCTATTTGCAATACATGACCCTGGTGCTCTTCTAAAGCACTTTTGGCATCAGGATCAGAGGAGCTGTGTTGTCTGTAAAGGAAGCCAGGAGAGTGGATGGTGTAGTCAAGACATCTGAGATGAGGATGGGGAGAGCCAGAGGGCAAAATTTGTAGTTCCTTGACAAACTCAGAAAATTTGTTCTGTTAAGTAGGAATGAACATAAGTGAATTTAGGACAAATTTTAGTTTGTACAGAAGACCCTCAGCGATCAAATCCTTGTTATATGCAAAGGTTCCCATGCAATATTGTTTATGCTCAAGGGATGTGGATGTACACCTGCTTGGTTGTGGAATGTTGGGAAAGAAAGCTATACTGGAGACAAGGGAAAAAGTTGAATAAGTTAGTGAAGTGAATAATTGTTTGGGAAGGATCTTCTACAAAAGATTTGAGAAGAGAGGAAGTAGGCTTTGGTTATAGTAATTTTTAAAAATTATACAACTATGTATGTTTGAATTATTGGGGGAAATGAAGTAAAGAATACGTGCCGCTTGATTTTGAAATGCGACATATACACGTAGTTTACCTTCTTTTTGTTGAATTCCTCTTTGTAGTTCTGCATTGACGACTTTAAGTTTTTCAATTTCCCTTGCTAGCCACCTTCTACTCGGTTTTCCATTGCTTTTTATCCTCACTTTACTTTCAACTTCTTTTACAACTGGTTTGGCCTGTAAATCAAAATGAGTAAATCTTGCCGTCATTAAATTCTTTGAAAATTTCGCTCCTAAGAATTTTTTGTTGTCAGAAAAGTGCTAAAATAATATCCGAGTAAGCTTGGCATGATGTGAAAGACTCAGCTGTGAGCGATCGTTTCTAAATGTGTTCCGTAAGCGAGACCGCATGGTTGTGTACCATTCTTCCTTGCTTGCGCCTCTCCCTGGGGGCTGGTACCGGGGCAGTCCGGTTGTCGCTGTTCATCTCCCTGTGGACAAGGATTTCTGGAATATTGGCCATCATCTAAAATGCCGATTCCCGAGATAAACTAATATTTCACAAGCCGAGAGAGCATCGCCGCTGTTTTCGAGTCGCTATGACAACGATTGCACAAACGAGCTGCGCGACACCACCTGCATTACATCGCGTGACGGGAAAGTTATTACGGTACAGAAAATGTTGTACCACCATGGACACTGCCACTGCCTGACGCTAAGTTTACTACTGCAGATACATTTCCATTAAACAGAACCTAAAAGTTTTATTTTTGAATTTATTATTCTAATATATCCAAAATATACCCTACGCTAGCTGTTAGTATATCATGTCGTCTTGCAACCGAGATATTGTATTTTCTACATTAATTTTTTAAGTCTTTCTGCGAAGGATTATTTAACTTAAAAAGTTATTTATTTCTTAGGCAAAAAACATTGTACAAAGTAGATTTAATAATAAAATTGCTAAGATGGCACCATCACCTATCTAATTTCTGTAATGTTGCCACGCAATCTACGATCAATGAGCAACTGATCAATGAGTTAATTTCAAAATTAATTCTCTGGAATTACAAGCTTATTCTTCTACATTGACAGGCAAAAAATTCCACCCAACTGATTTTTTTTCTTTTTCTCGATCAAAGAAAATTTTGCCCTTAATTTGTCTCATTGTTTTTATCAATAAAGATTTGTTTGTGCTATGTTTTAAATTGGGAATATCAATTAAACGTAAACACACTTAATCCTTATTCCAAAACAAGTATAAAGGATTTTTCAATGCTTAATTTCTAAATTTAAAATGAAGATGATCTCAGTAAAGATCGAAACGATGGCACGATAAAGAAAATGTTTTTTCAAACCTACGTCACACCAGACCGCATCTCACGATCTCCAAATAATCAGGAATTTAAAATGTTTATTCAGACTCATTTGAATTCTGAAGCAAGAAACTGTTTAATTTTCATCTTTGTTTTCTTAATTTCAATTTTTAAACTTAAAAATGCCACTTAGTGCTGAGGATGTTGCACGTGGTGTGGCACTTGCTGATGATGGACGTTCCATAAGGTATGCGGCTATTGCCATCGGAGTTCCTTACGAAATTCTGCGAGACACCGTTAGACGTTTTCGAGAAACTGGGTCCTACCATAGAAGGCCCGGTTTTGGTCGCCCTAGGGTAACAGAACTTCAGGATGACAGTTTTTTGACTGAGAATTTGGCGAAACCGGCACCTGACTGTTGTTCAAGCATTAACTCCAGGAAGTTCTTGGTGTCTAAATTTCTGAAAGCACTGCTCGAAGAAGATTAAATCAGTATGGGACGATGGATTTTCGCCCCGTAAGAGGACCAGAACACAGAGTTGCACGGCTCCCATTTGCTCGAGAACACAGCCATTGGTCTTTGGACGCTAGGCGAGCTGTACTTTTTAAATACGATCTCCAGATTGGCGTGAAAGAGTGGGGAGAAAACAAAATGAAAGGTACGAAGCCTGTAATTTTTCCCAAAGCCGACCTTTTCAACGTAGCTCCGTGATGGTGTGGGCGGGAATTTCAATGGAGAGTCCACAGAGTCGTTCGTGGAGGATCTTTGACGGCCACTCGCTATGTGGATGAAATTTTGGAACATCGAGCGTTTCCTATCAGCGACAATCTTATTCTAATGCCCGTCCACATGTCGCATAACACAGGGTCTTAGCCTGGCCAGCCCGTTCTCTAGACATGAACCCCATCTAATATTTATGGGATAACCGCAAAACATGAAGAACATGTCCATCACTTCCTGATACAATCCACGATCTTGAAAGGATTCTTCGTGAATAATGGGCTAGTTAGGAGAAGGCGAGGTTTCTAGCAAAGAGACATTTTCAGACTGGTAGAAAGTATGCCGAGGCGTCTTCAAGATGTAATTAAGGCAAGAGGAGGAAATACGCGATATTGAAATATTAATTAAAAATCTAAAACAAATTAAAACAAATTTTATCTGTCCGTCTTTTTTTAAATTTTTTTATTTTCTTTAGCAATTTACATTTTTTAAACTTTTTTAGACGAAGACTCAATTATTAAACGTTAAAAAACGTGAAACTTTGATTAATACAAAAATATTTATAAATCAAGTTATATTACAGGTGGGCGGAATGTTTCGCTTGTCAGTCTATTAAACTTTTACAATCAATAAGCCTAAATTCTATGAAATCAGCTTGAGCTCCAGAGAGAAGTCATTCGCGAAAAAAGCAAATACACAAGGTATCTTCATTGACATTGTAGATATGAAAGTAAATGTCGTTTAGGTGCCAACCTCCTTGTTCGTGGAAACCAGTGGAAAAGGCGCCAGCCTCAGCATTACAACTAGAGGCCAGTTCCAGTGCTGTGGATTTTAGATCATTTGTGAAAGACAAATGTACGAATTTGTGCTTTTTCATTGATGGTGGTGCCGGTGCGTCTATTACATCTAAAATTTCAACCGTAAAATCTAACAATGATTTCGTTTATTTGCTGCAAATGAACTTCAAAAGAGAATTTCATTGGCTTTTTATAAACTTTAGTAAGAAACAATTAATTTTTAACAATATTTTAAAATCATTTGCCAAAAGATCCGTTAATAGAGATTTTAACAAAAAAAGACCCTTAGTGCGACCCTCAGGGACTCCAAAAGTTGTTACAAAACTATGTATATGATATTACCAATTTAATTTTACTTTAAGCATTCGTTTCGGCATTTCGCTACCTTCAGTGTGTCTTCGTGATTAATAAAATGTATCAATTAATTATTCTTTTTATCTAAAGTTTTGGTTGAGATGAAAAAGCTAGTGCCATGATCGGGATTCGAACCCACGACTGGCTCAGTGCGCCGCTGTATAACTACTTAAGCAATAGGTAACTTCAATCCACTCGGGCATCTCATCTCAACCTAGAACCTTCCGAAATAGCCCTCTTTTTGCCATTTAAAGAATAATTAATTGAAATAATTAATATGGTCAATTGTGACCGCTAACCATATATGTATTAATATAATAAAATGTAAGTTTTATAGATGCTTTGGGTTTTTATCTTTTAAATGAAATTGAATGAAAATAAAGATGTACAGAATTTAAACAACAATTTTAACAAGGTAGGCTGCAAACTTACTAAATTAAGGTTTTTAAAAAATATAAATATTGGTATTCCTATAAATTGATTCATGTTCAACAATTGTAGATGTTGATGATGTGAATTTCACTCAAAATGACCTAGTAAGAATAATCACATGGCATTGTTTTAAGTTATGAACCAATATTTAAAAAAAATTGTTAACCTTTTAATTTAATGTTTTTTTTGTTTTATTCACTTGAAATTGTAAATGTAATAACAAACCTATTTTATTTTATTTTAACTATACGTTTTGAAAGACTCGATCTCTCTGAATAGCACTATCGATTAAACTTAAAACTAAATAAATATATTCTCCCTTGATATATTTTTATGCAAACAAGCAAGCCTAATAATTATATAGAGACGATAAACGTGTAATTTGTGTTTTATCTACTTTAACTAATAAAAACAAAGTATGAAAGTTTCATAGAAATCGGTTCTGTAGTTCTCATTTTTACGATTAACACACATACGAACATTCACTTTTAAATATATAGATTTGGCATTATTAAACTTCGTTTTAAATTAAAATCTGCTTTTAAATTATTTAAGCAGATATTCATTATTACCAGAGAATTTGGAAATTTATTTGCCCTATGTTCAATCCCCTTCGTATGGGTTGCTTATTAAGGTAAAAGCCTTAGAGTGTACAAGGCAATCGTAGGGACCTTCTGACTTAATAAGCAGCGTAATTTACACATATAAAACTTCATAGCATAAAGTATAATGTTTTATCTCAATGAGTTTACTACAAGTAATTATTGTATAATAAATCCACAGTTTTAATTAATAAAATTTAAACATGTCTGTTGAATCATTTCAGCGGCAACAAAACTAAATTATTAATCTGAAACGAAATATCGCTTGAATCTAAAATCGAGTCGAGCTTTTTAATGAGCTTGAGATGGGGTTGTTTGAATTGTTTCTTTCCACCATTGTGGAGGTGGTCTTTCTTAAATATTGACATAAGACGAGTCGGAATTTCCGGTTTCTTTCTTTTCCCCTATCTCAAAGAGCTTAAATTACTTCTTGGAACATCTGCTTTTATTAATGTATTATTAGAACTTAAAGTCAAAGAAAAATTGAATATTTAAATCGTCATTTGTTCCAGTGACTTTATCAATAGTTAAATTTCGAATAACAGGTAATTAAAATTTAGTTAAGTTCTTGAAACATTTGCGGCCCAGTTGTTATGGTTAAAAAATACATTAGTTGTATAATACAGTCGGTCAAACCGTGGGCCATGGATAGTATGAGCAAAACAGAGAGAATAATTCAATTAATTAAGGTTTTTACTTGAGATAAAAAAGTCAGCGTCATGAGCGGGATTCGAACCCACGACCTTCGGCTAGATACGCCGCTCCTCTACCACTCGAGCTATCCTGACTTCGATCCTCTCGGACACTAACTTCCCATCTCAACCCCACGTTTCGAATTTCCCTCCTTTTTGCCATTTTTCAAAATTCGAAAGATGGGAAGTTAGTGTCCGAGAGGATCGAAGTTACGATGGCTCAAGTGGTAGAGTAGAGGCGTATCTAGCCGAAGGTCGTGGGTTCGATCCCGCTAATAACACTGACTTTTTTATCTCAACTAAAAACCTTAATTAATTGAAGTGTATTAATTGGTCAAGCGGACCACGTAAACAAGTGAATTTAGAGAGAATAATGTTGACCCGACTGCGAATAGACTACACTAGACTGACGCATGGTCATCTCTTGGCGACAAAAAGTCAACGGAGATGCCCATTGTGCGGCGCACAAATAACTGTTAAGCATTTACTAACCGAATGCGAACTATTGGCGCCGCACAGAACAAAGTATGGCCTTTCCTCGAGTTTGACAACACAGCAATGACAACAGCAAGAAAGAAATCGAATATCTGAAGCAAATAAATGCATATAGTCGCGTTTAATACTTCTCCACACGTGGTTTCGTTTTCCCTTCCTGAAGTGAGTGTATTTATTGGCGAGAATGTGTGAGTGTATGGGTGGGTAGTGGTCGGAATATCGAGTACACCACAGACCCACCAAACTAGCATAGATATCTCTTTGTGTGTTTTGGGTAGAATGAATGTATTTATTGGCGAGAATGTGTGAGTGTATGGGTGGGTTGTGCAGGAATATCGAGTACTCCACAGACCCAC